TCCTTGCAACAAAATTGCTGCAGATTTTTGTAGTAGCCAAGCTTTGCTTTGGCATGGAAATGAAAACTCAGTATTGCTATTACAAATTTCAGTTACACACCGGATTGTTCTTTTTAGTTTTGTCTCTTGAAGTCAGTGGGTGGCCATGAGATATCCTCCCTCTAATGTGCACAGAATTCCAGGAAACAAGGAAAACTAGGCTTCTCTGTTCTAGGACCTGTACTCTCGAATTGGCTTTGAAGAGCAGGGTTGAGCTGAGAGAGAGATAAAGAGAGTCCTGGTGGTGGCCAGAGTAGAGTCACACTGGGCTTAGTGCCTGGACTTGATGTGCAGCCACAGGAGCCCAAGGCACCTTGCACCAGCCCTGTTTTATAGAGATGCAAGGGGAGGCACAGAGAGGACCCCACCCTTGTCTTGCTGGGACTTCTACCAGGGCCATTTTGCCAAGAATGACTCGAGGCTCTTGTGGTTGTCATTTTTGCTTTCCTGTTAGTTAGGTAACAGGGATGCCTCCCTACTCTTGATCCCTGAACTGCCTGCGCCTCTTCTGTCCCATTCTGGGAAGTGTTACTTCCTTATCAGGAGCCACAGAGCGTCTCATTGAGAACCCAATTATATACACTGCTTCTGGAGATTTTGACTCCCTCATGGATCTTGGGCAACTTGGTTAATTTCGCCTCCCTGTCTTTCTGGAAGGTGGAGAGAAGCCCACTGAGCCATTGATTCCAGTAAGATCAGTGAGGCTGGCACCTGCTCACAGTGGTCCCAGCAGTGGTTAGAGGAGTCCACGGGTGTGTGTGCTGGGGGGAGGCTGGCCAGCAGACTTCTCTTCCGAACTCTGCCTGCCTTTGAGACTGCTTGTGGGTTTATCTGAGCTATGAGTGTGGTGTGTGGCTGCTGAGCCAGGGGAACCGAGACCTTGCAGTCCTCTCCTGGGGACCAGTGCTGCTATGCCCACAGGCCTGGAGGGTGTCCTGGAAGGACAGTGGACAATGGCAGTGGTGGAGGTGGCCATCTGTATTCTAGGCAGTCCTGGCTGAGGTGGGCTTGGCCAGCCTCTGAATGTGCATGCAAATAGGCAGGCACTGGGCAGGGCTGGGATGCTTTTGAGGGGCTGGGTGCTGTCTGGCTAAATAAAGTCAGGTGTAGAGTGCTCTTGCTGGCATTCTAAGCTAGTCCTGTGGGGTGAGACGATTTAAATGCCAAAAATCCAGCCTCCTTTTCTTTCCCCAAGTGAGGTGATTTTTTCAGACAAAAACATTTTTCCTCTAGGGTGTAGCTCAGGGTAGAGAGCATTTGCTCAATACAGTATGGAACTCCATTGACAGCAACATACACACACATACCAGAAAAGAGCCTTTCAGTCAGTTTTTTTCCTCCTGTCCCCCTCCCATCCTTCTAGCCCCACCTCCCATCCCCTGTCCTTGGGTGTGCCCTTCACTGCCCCCCCCCCAATTCCCTGTTCCCCTGTGGCTAACTCAGAACCTCCAGCAAGCCTATGAGTGAGTGCCATTTATCTTTTCATGTCTGGGTTAAAATTTTGAGCCATTCAGAATGAGCACGGTTTGATCTCCCATTTGTGTTTTTGTTGGTTTGGGGAGAGTGGAGTAGGGGGTGGTCTGGGCCTTTAAAAAAAGACAGAGCAAGCTGGTGGTGAATAGGTCTTTTTTCCACGAGGCCTCAGGGCTCTATTAATAAGGCTGCCTTTCCTAAGCTTGCCAGCCTGGAGCAAAGGTCAGAGGAGATAATGGGCGGGTTATGCAAGCTTTCCCTTTTCTCCCAGCCTGACTCTGGTGGAGGGGTTTGTGAGATTGTCCATGGACTTGGGTGCTAGGTCCCCAGGGCCCCGGGCATTCACAGACAGATGAACCACTCAGCACATCACATTTACCACGAAGAGCTTGCTAGTTTTCCAGGGCTACCATGTGCTTCCAGGAGGCTTTTTGGCAAACTGAGGCTTGAAGAGGTGTGGGACATTGCTTTGGTTCCCCCAGGGCGGCTAGGGTCTGGAGTGAGTCCCAGGGCTTCTGTGTTAACTGGCCCAAGGGCATGTGTGAGCGCCATGGGGGAGGGCACATGCAGTAAAGAGTCAGTTCTTCCCAGGAGCTTTCTGCTTTCCCTTTTGGAGAGAAGCCTTCTCTGCAGGGTGTCCCTCCATGTCTTCCTCTTACACTCACTTTCTACATCAGTCTGGCTTCCCATTACAGTGGTCATCCTACCACAACTATGTCCCATGTTAACGTCTCTGAGCTCCTGGGACACAAACTTGGTGGAATATTGGTTTATGACCAGAATATTTTATGAGGAAATCAGCTCCTACACATACCTGTCTTCCTTCCTTCCTTCCTTCCTTCCTTCCTTCCTTCCTTCCTTTCTTTCTTCCATTCTTTTTTCTAAGACAGGGTTTCCCTTTGTAACAGCACTGGCTGTCCTGAAACTTGCTTTGTAGACCAGGCTGGCCTGGAACTCACAGAGATCTACCTGTCTCTGCCTCCCAAGTGCTGGGATTAAAGGCGTGCGCCTCTGCCCAGGCTCACATACCTGTTTTCTGCACACACCATGCCCGTGGCTGCAGACACAGTTCCTTGAAACTCTTAGGCAAGTCCCTGAGCCATTCATCTGGAAAATGGGAAACATGACTGACCTTTGGGAACAGGGAAGGTGTCTTTGTATGACAGCCTGAATGTACCTTCTCTGGGCAGAACACCCAGTGCTGAGCCTAAGGCCTAGCTGTGCAGCCTGCTGCCTAGGGCTCTAGCTCCAGGGCCAGGAGATCCTGAATGAGCTCTGTCATGCCTAATCGGAGACTTTGGGAGCTTACTGACCCTCCAGGTCTCAGTTTCTTCATTTGTAACATCATGCTCCTACAGCTGAGCCTTTAAAGGAGGAGTCTGTGGCTTCTGTTTTCATCTGGACCCCATTCTCATGCTGGGAAGCACTGCCTGGGGTGTGGGTAAGGAACCCCTTAACCCAAGCTTGTGAGTGGAGCCTTTGTGCCCAGTCCTGTCTCAGAGGCAGGGAACTCTTGTTCCATGGGACAGAAGCAAAATGCCTTTGTAATCAAGAAGTAGCAGAATAGCTAAGTTCTGGAGGTGGGAACTGGAGCATCATGGGAAAAAGCCTCAGAGGAGCTGAGGTCGGTGCTGTGTGCAGCCCTGCAGGTGAAGCCCTAAAGTTCCAGTGACTCCGAGGTCAGTGCCTGCAAAGAAAAGTGGTCCAGATAAATCCCATGGCCTC